ACATTTAAAGTATATGGACAAACTAGAAACTTTAGACATAAGCAATACAGATATTGATAGTGGCTTAGAGTATCTTCCGGATAATTTAAAAACAATTAATATTTATGGTAGTAAAGGAAGATGTCAAAAAATTGCTAACGAGTTAGGAGGAATTTCAAGTTATTTTTTATCAGAAAATTATAAACTTTTGGATTGAAGAAAAAAAAACGAACGTTTAATTGAAGAGGTTAAAAAGAACGATAAATTAGAGGAAGAATTAAAAAGATTGCGGGTTGAAATTGAAAATTTGAAAGGACAAATTGAAGTTCCTCCAAAAGGAAGTGATTAGAGATGATAATATCTTAAGAAAAAAAGGGGGAGTTTATTCTCCCCTTATCTAATAAACATATAAACTATTAACCTCCAAAACCCTTTCTAAAACTAAGCATTTTTATAAGTATAATATTATTTATTACCTAATTTTAATTTGTTATTTTTTTAGAATCAGTTTTAAAATTAGTAACTTAGAATTTTTGCTAAATATGCTCTTATTAATTTCTTTTATTATCCTTATAAACACTACTAATATCTTGGAAAGATTTTTTTTTGTTTTATTTAAAGTTCTCCCTCCAATTTTATTCAACAACTAAATATTCCCAACTTTTCACTAAAATAACCAAGTTGCAGTTAGTTTTTACTCTTTTTGACCATTGTTTAACTTAATTCCCTAGTATTTTCCTTCCCTACTAAAATTTATCATATCTTATGCCCAAAAAACTACTTCAATCGCAATCAGTTAGTGAAAGGGGAAGAATTTATTCTGATCCTTCTCAGAATGGCTTCCCGCCACCAAAAAAAACCCACTGTTTTCAATGCCAGCAAGAATTCTATATCAAATTTGTCATTCCTCGCCAAGAATATAGTCAAAAAAATAATTAAGATTACTGAACTAGTCAAAAAGCCAACCACCAGAAGAAAATTTGCGATAAATGCCTATTAGAGTTTTATCACAATAAACCTCTTTACTGAGACACTATTAAAGATTTAAAAAAACGCCAACAAATTAGAACTTATATATGGTCTAATTGCTAGTTAGTTTTTAGTAGTTTTTCTGGCGAGGATTCCAATATCTTTTTGAGAAAGTTTAGCAGCAAATGCTTGGTTGTTCATCTTCACTTTTTTGGTTCAGTAAAGTATAAAAATCTTATTTTAATCTACTTCTTTAATAGTTGATGACCCTCCTTCACCATTACCCCCAAACCCTTTCAACTGTCAATTTTCTTGTTCTAAACTGGCTATTCTTTCTTTAGTTAACTCTATTCCGACTAGTATATCGGACAAAAAGACTTTCGCCATTCGCAAGAATAGTGATTTACGTTCCAGAGTCAATAAACCACTAAGTATGGTTCTTAAATCACTCTGCTGATTTTGAGAAAGCTCAGAGTAAACTCCTTGCTTTTAAAATTAATAATATAGTAAGTTAACTTTATTTATCCCTTATGAATACTACTAATATCTTGT